GACAGTACAGGTGAGCATGAAGGACGGACAATCTTCGCGGCTTTTAGATTGGGAACACAACAAAACACTAACACTCAGGGATTTCGGAATAGTCAGACGCTTTCTAATATCGATGATTCGTTTTTAGATCGAATCAATGAATTGTTAAACGAATTCAATCAATGGCACCAGCGTGACCAAGAAGAACAATAACGTCTTCTATCATTTTATTTTTAGATCATATGTTACTAATTTTATGCTTTATTGTAGTCCATGTATGTTGATATACTTATTCCATGATAATTCTATGTTTATCCTTTTGTGTGATGTAAATTAAATGCTGAATGGCCGTTCATGCAGGGAAAGAACATATCAATATTCCCATATTCATTCAAAAACATGAAAGTTCTTAATGAAGTACCCTCATTTCTTATTGAATTCCTAAAAAACAATATTTATAATGAATTTTAATAATTTTTTCGGATTTTTTTTAAGATTTATTCTGACCGATTCACCCGATTTCCGATCCGGATCGCCGATTCGCAGATTCGGATCGATTTTTTGGGAGCCCGATCCGGGTCACCGATCCTTTTTTTAAACCATTGATTATAAGTAATTGTGACCACCTTGTATCAAAGGTAAACATTTTCATTGTATACAACCCCAATTTTTTAATTTATGTGTCTTTAAGTGTCTTTAAATTACAGCAAACACAAAAATTTTGAAAGTGTGGAGATGTTTGAGAATGCCCTTCAAATCCCTCTATACTTGCCAAAGTTTTATGTTGGATTTGTATAAATTGTCAACCTTAAATAGTCCAATCAAGGCGCACCTCAAAGCTCATTGAAAGATGTAATTTTAGTGTTGAAAAATTAAGTGATGAATTGAAAATTACTTCACATCTAATTATAAAACTAAAAGCTCAAAAATGGTAAATATTGAGCAAATCTACAAACACACGAAAATCTTCAAAAGTCACTGTTACGTACCACTTCAATCGCAAAAAACATAGGCTCATTATAGGGTATTAGAGTTTACTAAAACTTAGTACTTGGGAAATGACACATTTATAAGGTGGTTCGATATTTGTAGTTATGTATGGCCCTGTTCACTAACAAAATAAAAAATTTCCATCAATAATTTGGCTGTAGGAAAATTAGAAATAGAATGGAAAAAAGGAAAATTAGACCTCAATATAGGCCTGGGAAATGTGTAGAGTCGACTTTGGACCTGATAGTTTGACCGGGGCTTGATTTTGTACCTAGACGCTAGACTCAATGGGTTGGGTTTGGGTCCACTTGACCTTGATCAATCCTAGTTCAATCTGAGTCCTAGTCCATCTTGGATCCTATGCGGTCGCATCAGGTCCAGGTCGACCAGACCTAATATATATAATTTTATAATATTAACTAATTGAGTAATGATCCTATAAGACCCTCTCCCTACCTATGTGTGTAGGACATCAAATGATCAACATTAAATTTGGTACAGATCCTTAAAAGAGTTATCACATGGGGGTGGGACTTGATTTTTTATAGAGATTCGTGCCAAATTTAATGGTGATCCTTAGGGGTCCTATACACATGGATAGGAGAGGGTCCTATAGGATCATTTCTCTAACTCTCTATATATTTATACCTTTTTGTATTTTTCAGTTAGGGCCTATTTGGATAGGAAGAAATTAGAAATCTTAAATATCAAGGATTTTTGTCATGGATTCCTCAAATCTCTTGTTTGGATAAACTATATAAAATTCATGAATTCCTTACAATCACTTCTATGTCCATTGTTTGATAACAAAACTTGACACAATTTTTCTTTCCAAAATTTTTATATACTTTCTCTCTCTAAAACTCAAAATTTGGGATACTGTATCCATAAAAAATTTGAAATAGTTTCCCACTCTAAAATTTGATATGTTTTGTCTCCCTAAAATTTAATATACTTTTTATCCAAAATTTTGAGATGATTTCTCTCTCTAAAATTTTTAGATGATTTCTCTCTCTAAAAATTAGATTTCATCATCTAAAAATTAAATAGTCTCTATTAAATAGTATTTGTTAAATCTCGAGACATTAGTATTTTCAAATGGGTGTAGTTGGCATACAGATGCATTCGTAGCTGTAGAGGTAAGGTGCACCTTCAAATTTTATCATAGTATATAATTTTGATTTAAAATGTTTTTAGGATTATCTCAAAATCTATTTTTATATCTAATTATAAAATTTTAAATTTCAAAAATAGTTAAAATCAAGAAGATCAATAAACATATGAAAATCTTAAAAAAATGGACGGTACAGATAATATATCGTAAAATGCACTATTTGTGAGACTGAAAATCTTTTTATTTTTCATGATCATATATCGATGTCGCGATGATCAATCAAAGGGTTTTTTAACATTAAATTAAAACTACTTTTTTTTTTCTGATGGTTTTTGAAGTGCATCCGTACTTCTATATTATAAGGTTTCATCCTTATATAAACCTTTTGTTTTTAAATGCATAAAGAGTACAAAGTAAATTTTTTTATTAAAATTAATCTATGAATTGAAAATGTTACATCCCCCAAATTTAGGCATCTAAAATTAATTCCAGGTGAGATTCTACCCGAGTGAGTAAATACGCATTCTACTCCCGAGGGAGTACTATATCTTTTGGCTATGTTTAGGGCTCCGGTGTCCCTTAGGCCTGCGTAGAGGGAGCAGAGGGGGATTCCATTTTTAAGAGGAGATGCGCGGAGGAATGCAAAAATGAAATGATGTGGTTTGGAAGAAGAAGGGTGGGTCCTCCATTCCCCCACCATTGCCTCTTCCCAAGCCAACACCGCGTGCTCCCTCCCACTTCATGTCCCCCCTCCTCTCTCTCTCTCTCTCTTATTTTTTTAAGATGTTACCTGCATTAGCCTCTGCAACCCCACAAGCTCTGTGATCCCTTATCCATACGATCAACATGTGATCCACCTTCATAACCCAACAACAACTTCTCTCTCTCTCTCTCTCTCTAACTCAACAACAACATCTCTGTCTTTCTCTCTCTTGATTTGTATCATGGTTTTGGGCTTGTCAGTACATGCAGGACATGGGACGTATTTTATATCAGAACCCCAAGAAGAATGCAGAAATGGGTATCCCTCGAAACTCAATAACCATTTTCGCTCTCTTCTTTTTTAATATGTGGGTTGTAATTACAGTAGAGAATCATGTTGCCTTTGATAAGTAGGAAAGCCCTTTTTCTAAGTATTTTATTGTGATTATAAACTACTGTGAGACTGGATCAAAGTTTTGGCTTCCTCTGTCTAAGGGGACAGCTGGTTTGCGGTGTCATAGAGATTTTTTTATTCATTCTTCTTCTCTTTTTGTGTGGGGGAATGGGGTTACAGTAATCTTGGGTACTTGTGATCCTTCTGCAAAAAACAGGTGGTTGAGAATTTTGAGTCTTGGGTGGGATACAAACACCCCTTTTGGTCTGGTTCTTCTGGTTTCATTGAACTGTGCAAATTGCCAGAGCTTGCTTCAGTATTATCAGTCAATGGATTATAATTGTGGGGAGAGGGGTCTTGAATAGCTTAAAATCCATCTGTTCTTTGTGCTGTTTTGTCTATCTGATGTTTCAAATGCGCGGTTTTGTTTATCTGTAGTTTCAAATGGAAAGAGACGAGAAGAATCCATGAAACGGCTTCGTCTTGCCTATTAAATGACATGGAAATGCCAGCATTATACAGGTAAAGAAACCTTCTTATTCACGGGCTATAAAGCTTGTAGTGTTTTTGTCCTTGTTCAAAATTGGATCATGGAGTTTAGAGAGTTCGGTTTTCCTTTCTTATTTGCACTCAAGAACTTTATCAATTGAATTTCATCATGTTATTAATCGCTGATATTTCTGCTTTGAGCATTCGATGTCAGCCTCTAAATCTCTCACTAAGCCCTAGATGCTCTCTCTTTTCTGTAGACTTCAAATTTTTAACAACTAACTTCAAAAATAGAGATGGAACATTGGTTCTGATAGTAGCAATACACCTGCACAATTTCTTATTTTTTTTTTCTCTTTTCTCTGGACTTTAAATTTTAGACAACTAACTTCATATAAGCAATACTCCTGCATGGTTTTTTTTTTTTTTTCATAAATTTAAGTGGGTTTTCTCCAAAAATAAGAAATTTTGGAACTTAATCCCCGATTAAGATTGTTTTCTTCCTTGTTTGTAAGAGAGGCTGAAACACAAGAGCTCTAATTGCATGTCTTACCATTAAGCCACAGGCTTTTTCGACGAACTTCAGAATACTGAGTTTTAACTGCCTTTTAATGGCCAAGTTAGAATTCTAAATTTAATTCCTTTAAAGCATTTGAAGTTTAAGAGTTCTATTTTATGCCTTATGTATATGGATAATAATAGTCTAGCAATATATTATATATCATGTTCTGAATGTGGTTGTTTTGAATGTTAACTAATAATCAGAATTTTATTTACATGTCAAGTTTTACCAATGAATCACTTTTCTTAATGTGGAAAAGGGCTCTTGGCATTTCAATGTGAAAAACAGTTAACTTAATATGTTAAATATTAAATATAAAATTGGGACTAATATGTAGTTCGCATATCCAGTCACGGTCACAAGGATGTAAACATGTACCTATTGCAATGATTGACTCACCATCAATTCTGTGGATGCCACTACACATTCATGGTAATGATGCTCCTGAGTTTTTATCCAAACTCCAAAAAAAAAGTGGTGGTACTGTGCATTTTGCAACTATCAGTATGGAGTGCATCCAATGAAGCCCATGTTATTATTCAAACTTGTATGCACATTAAAATGCATGCTTCTCAATTTTGAGGTTCAAAGTTTCTAAGACTCTGCATTAAGTAAATATTTTGGTAGTTTATTCAGTAAAAACGTATCATTATTTTATGATCCACATGACCACATCAAACATGTAGTCATAGTGTTCATCACTGTCCAATCAAAGGGTTGGATGGTGGGGAGAGAGAGTGGGATCCACTGGAACATGACATGACCAGACGGTGGGTCCCACTCTCTTTGTGTCACCATCCAACCCATTGATAAGATGCTGACCGTCATGACCACATCAAGATCATAGCATACTAGCACCGTAATTGATTTAGATCTTTAGCGTTTTGCCTTCTCCATGTCACACACCTAAGGTTATCTTGTATTCTTCAGGGAGCTTCTGAATAGTATACACCCATGACCCATGTCAACGTGTCATTCTCAGGCAAGCATGAGCCTCGTGCCTTGAGTTACATAAGTTGGTATTTTTTGTGGAGTTTGTTTAGTTTTGAATCTGCAAACTAAAACAAGCCTGACAAGCTAGATATGTCCTGTGAGTAGTAGCTATTAACATTTTCTTGGGGTGATGCCTTCAATTCCCACCAACCTTTAAAGGAAAGATCTTTACATTGAATGAATCTGGATGGGCGAGTGACATCTCTTTTTTCTCTTTGGTATCCATCAAAAGTCAAGATCAAATAGGAACAAAAAAGAAATGGCTTAAGAGAATTAAAAATGAAAAAGTCCTGGCTTGCCTGAAATAGCTCAACAATTGCCCAATTCTGGTGAACCGGTTCCAGAAATGTTTTTACACTCAATAGATATATTTGTGTTTAAGACTCTCTTTAAAAGTTGAGCCTCATCATTAATATAATATTATCCAGGAATATACAGGCTAATCAACATATATCCAGCAAGGAGATAAGTCATTAGTTGAATATATTGTTGGCCTAATAGTATGTGGAATAAACTAAGTCCCTCAGTCGTCTTACATAGTACTGAAAGCAACAGGACAATCAAATAATCATTCAGTTTGTTGTTGGTCTTAACTTTTAAATACAAGGTCTATCATCATCATCAGAGCCTTCTCCCAACTATTTGGGGTATTAACTTTTTAGTACAACGTTTTTACTGCCTAAATCTTCACTGTTGAGAAGCTATCATTGCGTAATGTTTGTGCTCTCCTAAAAGAAAGGAGAAAAGAAGGGAAGTCATGGTACCTGCTATCCACATGAGTATCCAGCCATTGTCATAGATATTAGGTACCTGCTATCCATATGAGTATCCAGCCATTGTTATAGATACTAGGTATCTGCTATCCACATGAGTCTCCAGCCATTGTCATAGATACTAAGTACCAGTTGGATCCAGGAAGGGCACCTTTTGTTAGAAAGCACCCTCGATACTCATAATACAACAAACTGGGGCACACCAAGGGACACTGTTGATTCCTAAAGGACACTAAATAAGGCACCAGCTTAGCTAACACAGCTACTACTGTTAACGAGGCACATCAGATTTCCTTGTAAAAGTTGGATGAGATATTTTCTATGCTCAGGATGATAGATGATGATATAACCTCTTCTTCTCCTAATATATCTTGTTGCTTTCATTCTTTGTAAATATAATGATAGATGATGGTTTCATACTCGATAGTAAATGCTTTTATATGTATGCAATGAAAGGTATTGTACCCTGGAACACATTGGAATTTGGAAATTACCCATACCATTGTCTTAGAAGTGAAGTAGGTCCAAAGTGGAAAAGGGGCTCAGTTAAACAAGTTGGATTAGTTTGAATAAATTATGAAATGAAAATGTATTGTATTAACAATACAGTTGACAGTATAAAAAAAAATGTATTTAAGAATAGATTTGAGGTTTACCCACAAGTTCAATCTGATTCATCCTCTACTTTTTTTTTCAATTGCCTACTTTTTTATTGAACTAGACAGGTTTTGGGTATGTTCCCAGTTCAGCAAGCTCAAACCCATGTTCCAATTCAGTTTTCACAAAAATATCCCATGTGCCCAATAGGTACATGGAAGATCAAAGAGAAATAAATGCGTGTAAATATAGTTACCATTCTATCTTTTCAATGTATCTTAACACTCTGATTGCAAAGTCCAAGGACTAAGGATGACTATATGGTAATGAGCCTCATCACAAGATAGTATGAGGTGATAGATCTTTCATCTCACCTTGACGTGGTGGATTTTCAATTTTTTAAGGGTAAATTTTTATTGAAATATTTATTTTTAGGGGTAAGTTTTTATTTTTATTTATTTATTTATTTGTTATCCTGTTGTGGAGAACAAAGAAAATGGCAAACAAATGGAGGAAAAGTATTGTGGTACCTATTTACAAGTACGAAAGTGAGGTACAAAATTGTGCGAGCTAGCGAGGGATCAAGCTTATGAGCCATACTATGAAGCTCTGTAAGAGAGTGATTGAGCAATGAATATGGCATGAAATGAGTGTATCTGAAAACCAATTTGGTTTTACGTCAAGAAGGTCAACAACTGAGGCTATTTTCTTACTTAGGCAACTGATTGAGAAGTTTAGGGCAAATGAAAAAGAACTCTGCATGGTTTTTATTGATCTAGAGAAAGCTTATGATTGAGTACCTTGAGATTTGATTTGACGGGTGTTGGAAAAGAAAGGAGTCTCCAAACACTATATTGATTTGGTGAGAGATATGTACGATGGAGCACTAGTTACTATTCGAACAGCTCGTGGTGAGACGAGTGAGTTTTCAGTGACAATAACTCTACATCAAGGGTCAACATTGAGCCTGTACCTCTTTGTCTTAGTTATGGACGAGTTAACTAGGCACCTACATGATGAGGTACCGTGGTGCATATTGTTCGCAGATGACATAGCTTTGATCGATGAGAGCCGAAACAACGTCAACATAAAGTTAGAGCTTTGGAGGGATGCTCTAGAATCCAAAAATTTTAAAATTAGTCGGACTAAGACAATGTATATGGATTGCAATTTTAGTAATTAGGAGTAGCGGCAAGAAAGTAGTTAAGATCGACGGCCGGCGCATTTTTGATATCTTGGGTTGATAATCCAAGAAAATGGAGAGATTGAGGAAGATATCGCACACAAAATTAGAGTTGGGTGGGCGAAGTGGAAATGTGCAATTGGAATTTTATGTGATCACAAGGGCAAGTTCTATAAGGAAGGCTGTGAGACTAGCTTTGCTCTATGGGGATGAATGTTAGGCGAACAAAACACAATATACTCATAGAATGAGTGTAGCATTGATGAGGATGTTGAGATGGATGAGTGGCAAGACAAGAAGGGATAAAATTTGAAATAAATCTATCAGGAGAATTTAGGTTTGACGCTAAAGGCGACAAGATGAGAGAGAGTAGATTTAGGGGGCTGGCCATGTGTGGTACCGACCAAGTACAACACTTGTTAGGAGATGTGAGTTAGTTCAAGTGGAATGACTTAAAATGGCAAGGGGTGGGCCCAAAAGGACGTGGTTAAAAGTAGTTTAGAAAGATATGGGGATTTATGGCCTCACTGAGGGTATGACCTTTAATAGAGCAGAATGACGGACCAAGATTCGTGTAGCCGACCCCAATTAATTGGGAAAAGGCTATGATGATGATGATGATGATGATTTTACTTTTGTTATTCTATATGCCTCTGCTAATGGAATTGCCAGTGTTTTAAAAAATGGTCTGCCCGGCGCCTAGGCGGCCAGAAAATTTTTTTTGCACGTCTCGACCTAGGCGCCCCTACACGAGCGGTTGTACCTTGGCAGGCGCCCAGGCGGGCTAGGCGAGCACCCAACGCCCAGGGCAGAGGGGCTTTTTATCGTATTTAAGTTCACCCAAAAGGGCAAAGGGGCTCATTTTGAACACCAAGTTTGTATAAAAAAGTTTTGGGGTTTATTTTTGAACCCCATAGTGAAAAAAAAAAGAAACCCTTTAATATATAAGAAAAATCATTTGCACCACAGGGAGCCCGAGGTTCTGGGCGCCCGCTTAGGCGCTGGACGCCAAGTAGGCCGCCTAGCATTTTTTGAATCCTTGGGAATTGCATATCCATCCAAAGAAAGTTCATGTAGCTATGCAGACTTATCATTGAGTTAGGTGCTCATAAATTTTCTTTGAACTCAAGGCGTTTGCAAATGAATGAAATAGAGTAAATAGTTTGCTATCTTCATTTGAGAAAGGTTCATTCCAGTTAACAGGCATCGCTAAACTATCATGCAATGTCTTTGATCCATCCAACCTTCATGTTCATGGCCTTGCAACAACCACCTTGTGGCATATCCTTATTTCAAGTTACGCAAAAATTGACCTCAATATACCATCTGTCTTATCCCTTATGTATGGCAATAATGCCCTGGGCATAGTTATTTAGGGTGTGCAGTTTGGACAGAAACTATATTTTCATACTATGTGAGACCTGAAGATGTGATTTAAGATACGGTGGAGTCGTAGCTTGTGGCAGATACCTATAAGATTTTGTCTGAAATTAGATGAAACTTAATATCAGTACTTTATTAATATGTCCTAAGGTGATGTGTTACCCCTTGGTCCTAGGGACTTTATACCCCCTATTGGCCATATGTACCTTTGGCAGGTCTTTCTAGGAATGCAGTCTTGTCATCCTAAGAGAAAGAAGATAGGTCTAGAGAGTTCCTTTTGCTTTTGCATGCTTTCCTACGTGCTTGATCACCCCATTGTAGGACGTTTTAGCCACATCATGGCTAATGCTTTGTCACCAGCAATGGATGCCATTGACCATTACGCTCTCTTGCAATAGGTTTCAGAACTTTAAATATGCATCTATATTGTGCAATACTACAGCAGGTAGTTGTTATTTTAAAGCTGGTCCTAGTTTGCTCTGATTTTCATAGACGTCGAAATAGCAGCTTCTAAAATATAATATGATGCGAATGTGCTTCTGAAGTTAAATCTTAGTCACCCTGTTAGACCTAGTAACCTTGGCAATTCATGGTCCTCAGCACCTGTTGAGGTATCTAATGCTTTTCATAGCATTGTATGACTCAAACGGATTCAACATGGTGAGTAAAACACCCTTAATTATGATGTGCAACTCATGACATGAGACATGCTAGTTTGATTTTGAGTTTACTATGTGGCAATGGCATTAAAGGCCTTGCCTATGTATTGATTGCATGGCTCAACTAGCATTTCTGTTTCACAGTGTTGCTGCTCTATTTCCTTGATAGAATGTCTTTTTCCTGATTAACTTATTGTGATATTCTATAATATCGAAACCCTAACGGACATCCTAAAAGTTGGTGGTACAGTGACCTTCTCTGGAGAAATGTGGAGTACTGTGCTTTTGGGGAATACTTACTTCATGTTTATTTTCTCCTAATCTCTGGGTTGTTCCTTTCAGTTGCACATAATTTGATAAAGAGACTAGCTATCATATCTTTGTCCATTGCACATTTATACTAAAGCTATGGGACTGGCTGAGACGTGTTTGAATTCCAGTGTCCATTACCAGATCAAGTAGGGAATTCAGCTGGAAAGCCGGTTCATTTAAAAATGGAAGATATATATGGCGTATTTGGATACATGCCCTTATGTGGGAAGTGTTGAAGGAGAGAAATAGGAGAACCTTTAATAGAGGTGGTTGAGGAGGATACTCTCATACATAGAGTAAGGCTGATGGCTGCTGATTGGGCATCTGTAAGATAGGAATTCTCGGGTATCTCTGAGTATGAACTGATGTACAATGTTAAAGTAAGTATGGAGTCGAAAGGGATGGAAACAACGGAGAGCTAGGGGATGGGAACCTACCCAAGAGTGCGGGATTAAGGTCGACTTTTGTGGGAGTTTTTTAGGGAGTCCAGGTCTTGCTGGTGTATGAGGTGTTATTAGGGATTCACAAGGACATGTTCTTGGCTTATTCTCAGGTTCTGTGGGTATTGGTACTGCGAATCAGGCTGAGTTCAAAGCTTTAATTTAAGGCTTGAATCTAGCAGTACAATATAGTAGAAGGATTATCATGGAAGGGGATTCAAAGAATGCAATCTCATGGTGTAAAGTTGAAATGAAGGTAACTTGGCAGTTGAAGATGTTATGGAATGAAGTACAAGACATATGTGAAGAATATGAAGAAACATTTTAAACATTTATACAGGGAGAAAAACAGTATGGCTGATGAATTAGCAAGAGGAGCTACAAGGGAGGATGTGTTCATAAATCAGATAGGTCTAAGAGGAGTATGTTAGCTACAGCTAGTCCAATTGTGTATACAAGTGTATAAATATTTTTTGTTTTTCATGGCTACAATTTTTATAAGTAGCTGCGTGGTTTATTTGTCCTGTACGTGTCCTGTAACTGTAAAATTTGTACATAAATGAAATAAAAGCTGTTGAGATTGACCCAAGAAACAAAAAAAAAAAGGGATAAGATCTTCTATTAAATCTTCCATTATGTGGTTTGATATTGGGTATTAAGGTTTTGAGTTCAGATCTCTAACTGAAGATTAATAAGTGTACCACCAATTATTTCTACTTGTGAGTTAAATAAAACCATTGATGGGGGAGCTTGGGTTGAGGGCAGCGATCCCCCCTCAAAACTCGCTCCATCAATCCCAAAGCCAGAGGTTGAGTGGAGCTTGCTCTTCCCATTAAGGTAACTCAGTCCCTATTTTATAAGGATCTCGATCCTTAACTAAAAGGGTTCTTGATTGATTTGGAAGAGGATCATGACCTTATTGAAAATAGGGTGATATAATGGTTTGGAGGGATGTCAATATTAAGATTTTTGAATTTTGCCCCCAACATCTTAGATTTTGTCCTATTTTTTGTTTTGTGTCAATTTTCTAGCTATCGACGACCTGTAGACAAATTTAGTTTTTCGTTTTCATAGCAATGGCTTGCATAAGTGGTTGAAACCTGATGAACCGGCTCGGAATCGCTCAAATCGGTTAGGACCTGGGGCCGTCCCTGGTCCTAAATATTCAGGAGAAGGCAATTGGCATGGTTGCCCAAAACAGAGTGGGTCTTATTTAAGTGAATCACCCTGTCTTATTTATCAATATTTTATTGGAGTTTTAGCCTAGAGTTCCCATTATTCATGTGTACATAATGCTAAAATTTGGATTATGCATTCCTCAAATTTTAAAGCACTTCAAAAGAATAAAATAATTTATATATATATATATATATATAGGAAAATGTTTTCATAGGGCTGCAGCCCTACTACAATAAGTTGGGCTGCAACCACCCTCTTAACCGTCCACTAATTAGACAGTCAGGATTCATGGAGGTAATCAAGTACTAACTGAGGCACTAAAGTTATAGGCTGTACAGCCTAGCTTCCACCTTGTCCACACGTAGAAGAATCTCTCTGTACAGCCATAACTGTCATGGCCATAGCTTCCCTTCCTAGCTGAACCATTGTTTTAGGTGCCTTCTCCTGTCTCTTACCCGTTGCACAACACTCTCTCCATCTCCCTGTCTCTCCTCCCTAATTCCTCTCTCCCCCTCTCTCCCTTTTTATCTCTCGCTAACCCCATTCTTCTTCCTTGCTGCTGCAACTCTCTCTCCCTGTCTCTCTCTCTCTCTCTCTCTATCTACCTCCATGCTTCTTCCCATGTTGTTGCAAATTCCTCTCCCTCTCTCCCCCCCCATTCCTCTCGCATCCCACATGCGTCTCTCTCTCTGTCTCTCTCTCTCTAAGGATATTTTTCCCCTATTTTGTTTTAAAATTTTTGATTCATTTGAATCAATGCTTCTAACAAGAGAAACGGTCATGCAATGAGCTCAGAGAAAATTTGGCTTTTGTGGGTTTTAGAGAGAGAAGGTGTGAGAGAAAATTTGATTTTTGTGGGTTTGAGGGAGAGGTGGTGTGAGAAAATTTAGTTTTTGTGGGTTTTAGAGAGAGGGTGTAAGAGAAAATTTGGTTTTAGAGAGAGGGTGTAAGAGAAAATTTGGTTTTTGTAGGTTTGGGTGGGTAGGATTGCTGTGGATTCTCTGTGTGAGAGAGAGAGAGATAGAGAGAGGAATATGGGTTTAGGTGTAGAGAGAGATGGAGTGTGGGTTTAGGTGAGTATGAAATCTGTGGATTCGCTAACGGTTCAAAATGGAGAAGATCAAACTCTAAAGTGCTCTACACCCCTTTGCCTTCGATGCTATGCCTTCTCTATAAAATTCCCCACCTGTTTGGTTCTGGTCCTCCGCCATATTGGAGGGGCCGAGGCGGAGTTGAGGACTGGTCTTTAGAAGAGAGAAAAAGCGAGGAGAAGTAAAAGTGAGTGTCTCTGTATTTGGAGGTTTCCAAGAAATAAATATCTGAAAGAGTGAAAGAGGGAACCTGTCAGTGGAAGCCTCGGTTTCCCAAATTACAAACGATATAAAATCTGCACCGTCCAAGTAAATGGACGGTGCCAATAGCTGCAGCCCAGCTTTAATAAATAGGGCTGCAGCCTTATAGAAACTGCATCTATATATATATATATATATATAGTTCCCCAGCAATTCAATATATACAAAGTACATATATCAAGCTGCTGCCAATCCCACTTCAACACTCTTAGATGATCCCAATTTAGGGAGCTTCAGCCCTGGTTTGATCCCGAGCTCCCACTTCCATGCCAGGTCCCACAAATCTCCCCCTCCCAACAACTATGAATAAAACATTTTAGTTTGTAACTGCATGGTAACATTAAGAACATTCTATCATGGGTATTGCTGAATTGTATATGCAATTCAGCTGTTGAATAATCCTATTCATGAATGTTTTTGTTGAATGCGTTATTCATGCATGTTTTTGCCAAATGCTTATAAGGCATTCGTCAAAAATATTTATTAGCAATCTATTGGCATTTTGAGATAAAAATATATTCTGTGACATTTCCTCAGGGATTGGAAAGAAGATGCAATAATTAATGAACTTCTCTTCAGTTCCTTAGGTGAAGCTTGATCTAATAGTGTACTGCAGGTCAAATGTGTGAAGTTTCCTGAATCTTCTTGGAGTGCCTCAAAGGCTAAATACAGAAGAGGGGCTAGTCAACATCAGCATAAAATGGAGAGGTTCCTAGAAAATTACAATAAAGAAAACCTGAAGAAGGCTATGCTGAAGCATGAAGAAATATTTAAAGAGCAGGTAGAAATTGAACCGGTCCCAGATAGCCCTTGTTTTCCAATTTCTATTAATGCTTGAATTAATTCCGGATAGAAGCAGCCATTTCAAGGCTTCTCGTCTTTTTTGTGTATGCATGATTCTGAAATATTATTGCTCTAAAGGCTTTCTTATATTAGAACTTAAAATTGGGGAATAGTAAGTCATCTAAAAATTGAAAATTTGAATGATCCAGGTGAGCGAGCTTCACCGGTTGTATCGAGTTCAGAAGCTGCTAATGGATGACCTGAGAAGTAAAAGTTTTCAGCATCAGCCTTCTACAGACACGTCTGCTTTTATTTTATCAGGAGTTAGTTCCACAAAAACCCATGGGCAATGTTTTTGGAGGACCAAATTTGAGAATGACCAAAATTTGAATACAACAAACCATCATTCCAATGATGTTCATACTTTGCAGAGGAAATTTGATCTCGAGTCACCTGCTGATGAGGACATGGGGGAAGCATTGCTACGCATTGAAAGTGAGAATGATATTGAGCTAACCTTGAGCATTGGATTCAGAAAGGAGAAGAAAGAAGTTCACAATAGACTACCCTCTTCAGCTAAAGATAGATCCAGCAACATGATGGATGGTCGTCAAGGGAATAATTTTGGAGAAAAGTTAATGGATCATCATTTATGGGGAGCTGGTCTGAGGCATGAAATGGGTGAGACCTGCAAAAGTGAGCGGAAAGCTTTCAATCCCGAAGAAAGGCATAGACAAGATGTAATAAAGCAGCACCCACCTTGGCTTTTTCAAGTAAAATGACCCAAACTTGAAGTGGGTATCAATTCTACTGTCTATTGAAGTTGTGCATCTCCTAAAGTGATCAAGTGGGTCAGGCTATTTTTCGTTCTCTGATCCATTGGTGTTTCTGATTTACAAAATGCCCTGTAGTTCATGAATGACTTGTATTACAATCATATATTGGGGTAACTCTGAACAGATCTATAGAGTTAAAGCTGTACAGAGGATGTATCAAATTTATGATAGTGAAATTTGATTGAGGCAGTGATTGCATGCTTCATGATTCCAAACTTCGTGCAGCAATAAAATCAAGGAATGAAGCTGTATGTTCAACTGAATTTTTTAAGGAAGAGGAAGTTGCTTAAAGAGGTTTTCAGGTTTCATTTATACATGGTCCTTTATCCATTTCTTGATAACTAACAATTGGTTAAAATAAGATGCAATTCTTTCAGTATATGGCATATTGGAACATCTTTTTCCCCCAAATATTGAACATCTCTGGATCACTGCCAGACCCTAGTACTAGGACATCACTATCAGTCCTCTAAATGGAGTACAAAGATTCCTTTAATAATAGCACCACATGGTAGATGATATCAGAGGCTTCTAAATCCTTCAAAATGAAAGACAAAGAAGATTCTACAAAAACCTTTACGTCTCTCAAGTGGCAGTTTCTTGTCAGAAACCCTATAGAAAAAGCAGGTGGTCCTATATTAAGCATGTGTGGTACTGTACTTATGTAAGGGGAGTGGGAAACTTACTTTGATTGATGTGACATTATATTATTTTGGTATTTGGTACGTGCTTGTGACTACTAGTACAAATGGCGTATTTCAATGTTCGTAGTAAGCTGTTAAGAAAATATCAAGAGAATTTTGAGTTTGTTTGAAGAGGCTTTTTTTCTGAGAATGTGTTCACTTGTATTGATTAATAAAAATATTTTACAAAAATGAGGTGACCAATTAGAAAGGGCACCCTATACAATAGCCCTGATGGGGCCAAGAAATGCCTTACAGCAAGGCAGAAAAATATACCGCAACTAGGAGATTTGGGGTTGAAACGCTCAAAATTTTCCTAGGTTCCCAAGTTGGGATTAGAGTGGGGCTCCCTCCCTAGTAAAAATGTTGGCTGCAGTCTTGGCTTCCCTAAGGATGTGGTTCCACGAAACTCAAAAATTCCTGCAAATATGCGATATCTCGTCAAATATGTGGTCGAGTCTCCATGAGCAGGATGTAGAGTTGGAGGCCCAAGCTATGACATTTTTACAATCCCCTTCCACCATCAGCTCAAAACTCCATTAGGGGTTAAGCTTGTGAACGCCATCTAGAAGGGCAAGAGCCTCAACAAGAGTTGAGTCGGCTGTGCCAATTGAACGAGATGATCGATTAAAAAAATTATGGTATATAGAGCAAGGATTCAGTCAACCATACAAGGAATTGTAAAACTCAGTGGGGCTACTAAAGTTCCCTAAACAATTTAGTGAATTTCTAGCAACACCATTGCTTAATTAGTTTTTACAACACTAAACTACATAAGTAACATACTTTTTGCATGTCTGATGCTGGCTTTCTGATTGTGCTGTTCATGTTCTTCATTTATTACAACTCAATATTTTCCCAGAAATATGTTTGGGGGAGTTCTTTTTTCATTACATCCATTACATAGGAACTACATATTCCCACTAAGCATTCGATAAGAAAATGACAGGACAAACCTCCTGAAAATCAACAAAATACATCAATACAGGAGAACCAGAAAGCATAGAAACCCATTTCTCTACAACAGACAGACTGAAACTCTTGGGGGCATTGAAGTGACTCACTACAACACAAGGAAAACTAAAATAATTTACAGGAGTATCTACTTGGACGAACAAGTGAATACAAAACCACAACAGACCTCAAACTAGAGCAGCTCAATTCTAGAAAGGACCATAACTGTTAACTGTAATAGTCTTGGACAAGACGTGAGCTTAGATTAGCTCATTGGGACCATACATAGAAGCCCAAGCATAATGATTCATGAGATGGAATGCCTTCTATCTTTGTTGGGCTTCATTTGAGCCTTCCTAGGAGAAGGCCCATCGGCACGAACGAAGGGATACAGCTTACCCAACTTCTTTGACATAGAGTTTAGTAATGATTTTTTTGGCAATGGAGGCTTGTTGGCTCGGTTTGGAGGCTTTTCAAGCTTTTCAAGCTCTTTAAGCCGCATCCTCAGCTTCACCATCTCTAATTTCAAATCTTCGTTTTCTCTCCTCAGCAACAACAGCTCATTATGTGGGGAAAGATCTTTGGAGTGTGCATTTGCTTTGTGAGATTGAGAAAGCCATTCTTCTTTTTCCGTGAGATTACCATTCATTGCATCGCGTAGGCTTTGTTGCTCATAGTAGAGAACCTGAACAACAGTCTGAACAGGGAGCCTATCATTCTGAGCTGCATGGGCGCAGGCTTCTCGCGAGAGCTTTTGGCAATCCATAAGACTGCAAACTTTCTTTCTCTCTATCTCAATCAAACTAGCATGCGCCTATAGTTTTTAATTTTTTGTATAGAAATTGTTAGAACAAACCAATATTGAGAAAGAAATCCTAACATCAGAAGCTATGTTGGCCTGTCAAGTGTTCTTATCAACCCAGAAAAATGTTGATAGAATAATTCTGACAAAAATATATGTACATAAAATCAAAGAATTATCTTTTAAATAGGCAATAGAAATTACAAAATATCATAAATGATGCAATTATCTGTGACTAATCCTATTAGGTATCGTATCCAACTGCAAGAGGCCCAGGGCCTATCCTTTTATAAGTTATCTCACATAAACGGTGAGCAAGAAGGTCCTGTCTTAAAGATAATCGTATCATATCCAAGTGCAAGAGCAGGGCATATCCTTTTATAAGTTTATCTCACAAGAAAATTGAGCAAGAAGGTCCTGTCTTAAAGACATTCATTTCAATATAAAACAAAAGTTCTATCTGTATCACAATGCTACTAGTTGTTTTAAATTTTTTTAATTAATTTTCCAAGGACTATTCAGTATTATTAATAAAGAAATGCAATACTTGTGTCAAATTTCTAAGATAAAAATTCAGAACGAAAAAATAGAGAGAAGGTTGAATATGATGAGATCAACAGGGGAAACCACCACAGCAAAGACGTTCAAACAATTATCAGGTATAATCTCACGAGAGTGGAAGATGCACCTTTAAATAGATATCTATTGCTCTATAGATGCCATCCTCATTAGCCTTGGATTGCTCAGGAATCAATTCGACAAGCCCAATGAACTTAGAGACACTCAAGTTGGGGTCTGATGCTATTTCAGCAAGATAGTTCTCATAAAGCCTTCCTACCCTCTCCAAATCACTAGTCAGAGGAGGGACATAATCATCATCTGTATTGTAACCCAGCCGGTTCTCTAACTGAGTTCCCTCTTCTTCTTTCTCTAAGTAAGTTACCAAGATCCTTTGAACCGTATCGACATCAAACATGGTGTCACCAGAGAAGGAGTATGAAGGGATCAAGAGATCGTCCAAGACAGCTTGGTCAAGTTGAATACCCATTCTTCTCTCCAGATCAAGCCTACAAGCAACTGTAGTGTCAAGATATATGGCTGCTCGAAGAAGCATTGACAAGAAGCTCACGGACATGGCATTTCTCTCTCCAGGGAGAAGGCTTACTATTGTCTCCAACATGACTCGCTTGTCATGCTCCTGTTTGGGCTCAATTTTCTTCCTTCCTCTGCCAAAAATTTCCTGCAATTTTGTGTTGTTATTAGCTACCTAGGGATTTGAAATTCACAAAATCTTTCACGATTTCTCTTGTTATTTGCTGGGTAATTGGATACGGGAAAATAATTCTTATGTCGACCTGTCGAGAAGAAAAAGGGAGAGAAGTTACAAGCATGATCATCCTCTACCTAAAAAACCCAAACTAATGGATAAGAAAGAGGTTAAGCCAGGTGAGCCAGAATCATACTCCAACTAGGCCAAGCTGAAGAATTAATTAGGAGATGCATTATGATATGTACTTGGAAGCACATAGCTAGACTAAAGAATGTTTGTAACTTCCTGGCATAGATGAAGAGCAGCCAGCCAGCGAAGAACTGAACTTGCAATGCTGCCTAATCCTCCATGAGGTAGGACATGAGAGAAAACAGACAGGATTCTCAAAGATAAGAGAGAAGCCGCATAATCAAGCCACAAGCATCGGGTAAAAATGCCATAACCTCCTCTGACAAAACCAACGTATATTTCTGGAGAAGATAAGAAGACAGAAGCCCATCCCATTTTAGAGATAAGGACAAAGAGGTAATCGGGATCAAGCACCTTTACATTACTATTCCTCAAAAAACATTCTAGGCTTGGACCACAACGGCTAATGTGTGTGTGTGTGTGTGTGAGAGAGAGAGAGAGAGAGAGAGAGAGAGAGTCGGAATTCAGTACCATGATCTTACCAATCCTCGAAGGGACTTCTGAGCATAGAGCATCAGGATTGGCCCAAGTGCATACTCTTTGAGACCTCTGGCCTTCAACGCAATAAGAACTCGTTGAAAGATATCAATCCTCAAAACTGTTAAGTCATCAGCCCACCAATCCACAATCGCCTTAGGGTGAGAAACCGAAGAGCTCCCACTGCTCTCTTGACTATCAGTCCTACTTGAACCGCTAAATTGGCTCTCTTTAAAAGTAAGATAAGCAACTGCATCTATGCACCTGCTCACTAGCTTAACCTTTTCAGCCATGGGGAGAAGAGACTCTGATCTGTGGAGTACAGTTATAGCGCCTGATAAACTCTTAAGGGCCACTTCAGTGACATAAGCTTCGGTTCTATTTACTAAGTTCCCCGTTGTATAATCCTCAGTCATTTCCAGATACTCTGCCACACATCGAAGCATGGCTACATTCTCTGTGCTTATCTCGAAGTTTATACCATAACAGAACTTTGCAGCAAGCTCAAAAGCCTCGGCTCCTCCAGGAATATCTGGGATCTCAATCATGGATAGGTCAGCATCGTTGGCTTCTGAGACCAGCTTCCTCATGTACCCACATTTTGAGACCAGAGGGAACTATGTTTGGCCATGAACAAAGAAGCTTCAATTAGTCATTCCTTGCATGGTTGGGGAGGGGAGGGGAGGGGAGGGGAGGGGAGGGAAGGGAAGGGGGGAGGGGGGGGCTCAGAAAGAGCTCTTCCACTTTCATTTAAATTCAAAAAGAAAAATTTTGGGCATGTGCAATAGGTATGAATGTGTATTTATATAAGATTTTCGAAATCTGAGTCACCTAGGCGTCGCCCAGTTGATCTAATGCGGAACAAGTTAAAAACACATCAAGAGCAAGAGGGAAACAGAGAAATCAAAATCAAAATATAGAAAGAGGAGGTTTGTGTGTTTGTTGGTGAATTAGAGATTGGGTGCAAGATAAGTTCGGGGTTTCTATGTTCTGTTGTTGAGGAAGTCATTGATAGAGGAGGATTCAGTTACCTTGTGCAAGGAGAAGGTGGCCCCTCCTGCCTGAACTGTGACATCGCTCGGAATCTCTTGAGAGAAAATCCTGTTCCATGATTTGAAGAAACAACCCGAGAAATCAGAATTTTAATATGAGTGCATATGTAACCACCACATATGCATTCATGATGGAGAATCCAGTTTCATTCCATCAAAACAGAGTATGATCAAGAGAGGAAACCATGTCCAACACAGCAAACAACCCACCAAATGCACAAAGTTGACAGAGAAGTCCAGTTTCACCCCATAAATGAGAAAAAAGAATTATATGAATACGAAAGAAAGGGAGAGTGCCACTCCATGAAAAAGTAAATCATCGGAGAGAACAGAAAATCCTTGTTTCACCCATGAAATAAACAAAGTCATCATATAACACCTTTACTAAACAAATTAGGAGATCCAGTAGAAGCCATTAAAAACGACAATCAGTTTTCATTTGTAAGGAAGCGAATTATATAACCACTCCCATGAACAAAGAGACAGAGTACCATTCACTGGTGCGCTTCATTGCCGAGGAAAGGAGCTGCTTCTTCTTAGTGGACATTATTAAAGGAGAGGGAGAGGAGTCCTCCACCATTGCTAGGAGTGAAGGAAGCTTATCCTTTTGTTTATCTGGAGGTCCCCATCAGAGAAGATGGTTGAGAGATTGGCTGCAAGACTTGGAGAGATGGAATGAGAGAGGTTGAATGAGAAGAGATGGTTCTCATTCTTTTTACTTATGGGGTCTAGGATGAGGCCAAAGGAGAGAGAGAAGGGGTGTGGAAGAATTTGAGAAAAAATGTAAATTTCTACTAGATGAAGGCAATTGTTGCAGGGGCCTTGGACTCTATTATGGGAGCAGTTACATAAATGCCCAACTCTCTCTCTCTCACACACTTGCAAGTTGGAAGGACATAGTGGTCCTATTTTGAATATAGAGGGACACCCTTAGAAAAGTTTCTGTGTCATACCGAGAAAAATTTGTATGGGAAAAATTCTACCCGCCACTCATTGTATTACAAATATATCCTTATTCTCTGGGTTATTACAATTCTAACCTCAACCGTAAAAATGACCGGTCTATATAGGGTCTAGAAATGGAAGTTTGTACTTATATGCAACCTTATATGGACTAAGTAAGTTGCACTTCAAAAATCCAGTAAAAAAGAGTGTCTTAAAGTTCAAAAATCTACTAATTGATCATCTCGACCTTCACATGTATAAATATAAAGAAAAAAAAGAATCCCCAAGTCTAAAAATAATGCATCTTGTGATAAGTTATCTGGACCTCCTATTTCATAATTTTTAAGAATTAACAGATCTACTTGATTTATATGTTTTTTGGATTTTCAATTTTATAAGCAAGATCAAATACAAATTTTGAAGCCCTCATAAAGTTTTTAACACAAACTAAATCTATAGACAAGATTTAGAAACATGTCTTACTTCTAGAGTATGTAAACCTTACCCTTTAGAAATATTCACCTGTTTTAGTGCTGTATATATTGGGGCAAAATATATTTTTCCAAGGGAATGAATAATAATAGCGAACAATGTCCACTGCACTTAGTAAATAGGTCATGAAAATGACCCAGGGGAATGACCCATTGGAATTTAGCGCCTTTGTAGTACACTGAATTATACTGCATGCTTATCCTAAAGTTACAATAGAATACAAAAGGAAAATAAAATGATTGCTTCTTTTTGTTTTTGGCTTTTTGCTAACATGTCACCACTAATATTGGAGATTTAGTTACTAAAATATTTGTATTCAACCTCATGAGCTCACGATTTGAGTACAAGGGAAATTCATCAAAATAAAGGAAAAAGTTTATATAGAACCGAAGCTCTAAACAATCAAATTAAAGCCCACCTCAAAAAGTTTATTAGGAAAAAAATGGATTTAAAAAAATTTATGTCCTCATTACATTATTAGGATTGGCTTTTGAGATGTGATTGTAGTTTCATCGAGGTGTCGCTGAAAAATTTAACTTTTTTATAACTATTGGGATTTTTCTTTGGGAAATTTATCAAATTATCAATAAAAATAAACAATTTAATACCTTATCGGTATCTTTTAATTTAATTTTAAAATACCTCTAAGATCATGGATCTAAACACCAAAAAAGAAAAAGGATAAAAAAAAGAGGAAAGTGAATGTCGATCGGGCCCCTAAAACAATCAAATTAAGGTGCACCTCATACACTCATTAGAAGTTATTGTTATGCCCAAAAACCCTCAAATCCGATCATCTAGACCCTTAGATAAATGGATGTAAAAAAAACAAAGACTTCGAGTCTTAGAAATAATGCATCCTATAGTGCATTATCAAGACCATTGATTTTTAAGATCTACAAGTGTTCATAGATATACTTGATGTACACTATTTTTTAAGCTTTAAATTTTATAATTAAAGAATGAAAATAAATTTTTAAAACATTATAAAAATATTTGGTACTGAAACGATATCTTTCGATACTATTAAAAAGTATCTTACTTTGATTGTTTAAGGCCTCAATCTTATACAAACCACACCCTTTAACAAATGGAGCCCACACACAGGTTTTTGCTTTTAGCAATTCAAAAGTTGGACTTCAAATAGGAAGAAAATGAGAATATAAAAACTTAATAATATAGGGCTTCACTATAAAGTACCCAAAATTTAGACATCTTATTGTACAGCATTTTAATGTGGGTCCCTATAAATTTTCATAAAAAGATATATGAAAGTACTTGCAATTAAATGTGGCCCAAATTCATTTGACAAGTATTGGCACCCAGGAACTTGTGGAAGTTCAGCTAAAATTACTATTTTGCTCCCGAACATCTCGCTCTTTGCTCTAAGTCTGTTAGCTCCAAGTCCGCCTCCAACGTGTACAATTTTCCTGTTTTTTTTATGAGTCTTTATTATTGAGGGCTGAGAAGGTGACTTCTTTTAGTGGCACAAACCCTAATTAATGATTCTATTTGCTGGCGTGTATTACATTCTAAACCATCAATTAATTTAGGAGGAGAAGTTTATATAAGATTGCAACCTTAAATTATAAAATTAAGGTGGATCTTAAAAATCAATTGGAAAAGTTTGTTTTGACGTTGAAAAACCCTCTATTTGATCATCTCTATATGGAAATGATTAGAAAAAAATGGATTTCAAGTCTAAAAAATAATGCATATTGTAATACATTATCTAGAATGTCTATTTTCAAGTTTTTCATGTGTTTATAGATCTACTAGATTTGAACCAATTTTGGAGTTAAATTATAATTAGCAATGAAAATCGAATTTCTTGCCATCCTAAAAAATTTTTATACTAAAATTACATCTTATGATAAAATTTCGAAGTAGGTTCTTACTTTGATTCGAAATAGGCCTTACTAGCAAAACGTAGATTCGTAGTAGGCCTTACTTTGATTGTTTAAAGTTGCAAAGTTATGCAAACCACACCCATTAATTAATCGCCACAATATTTTATACTCCTATAGGAGTGTATTGTCCATCTACACCCTTGAGCAAAACGTAGATTAGAAATATCTTTTAGATCCCAAAGTTTGAGGATAGAGTCTCTAGAAGCTGTCAACCAACCTCAAAGAAAAATAAATTTAACTCCCACTCTCTATGTGCCTAAAAAAATGGCATCCCAAGATTGCACTGCAACCATCCAATTTTTAGAGGCATGATCTAGATGTTCAAGCACTCAAAATCCATTTTTTTTTCGTTGCAAATAATCATCTTGTTATAATTAGATGGATCCAAAAATTTCAAATGAAAAAAAATCGCCCAAGTGTTTTACCCAAGGTAGTAAATGCATAGTATGCTCCCAAGGGAGCATAGTATACTCTTATTTATAACTTTAATGGCTTGGGATCAGTGGTTAGCCAGCAAACGCTATACCTCAAGTTTAATTCTTACAACTAAATGACCTCAAAAAAGTCATCATCATTCAAGCTTTATTCTAATTATTTAGGGTAAGCAATTCCCCAAAAAAATATAACTAAATAGTAAGTTTTAAGTGCCCAAAATACTTTTAAACATGAAATTCATATTTCATACAAGCTTTGGACAATACAATTCATGAAAATTTAGGAAGGTGTACTATGATGTGTATGATACAATTCATGAAAATTTAGGAAGGTGTACAATGATGTGTATGATCATGGTAACATCGTGACCATGAGGGGTCATCATTGTACCATCAATGGTCTGGATTTGGGGATAGGACTCAGCCCATGCCCGAGCAGAGTAACTCAGGCTAAGTCCTAGTTACTTTGTCCAAGCCAAGCTAGGTCCTAATAGGCCAAAAAGTGTTAAAAAAAATAAAAAATATATTAAAAGTAAAACTAAACAAAACACATCTAAATGAGGCTAAAAAAAAAATAAATAAATAAATTTTGAAAATATCAATTTGTGAATGGGGGTATTTCAAAAAACATAAAAGAAAGGAAAATGTAAAAATTATTCATGGCTAAAACACTTTCCAACCTTTGCCAAAATGATAGAAAACATAACAAATATATATTACAAATAAGTTTCTTTCTTTAGATTTTTATAATTTTTTTGATTTTTTTATAAGATCCCCAAG